AACCTTGAACCTTGAACCTTGAACATAGCTACAGGCAAGTTGAATAAATTATTTATATAACTTAAAATGCAAATATAATTTGTACATTTTGAAAACGTATGCACACATTTGGAAACATACCAACTATTCATCTAAAAATGCAGCCAATGCACCTGCCGTTTTTTTTTACATTTTGTACAACCATTTAAAAATATTACTAAAACTAAAACGAGAGAACAATCAGGGCTCGCAATAAGATGCCCTACAAATGATGTGTGCCTGTAAAAAACATTGTTGGTCCCGCAAAAGACAGAGGAGAACATCACAGGGATAAACCAATGAGCTGTGCGGATCTCGTGCACTTCTTCGCAGACACGCAGTCTCCGCCCCTCACGTGACGTGAAATTTGTATTGTTTAATTAAATTAGACTTTACGGTATTTACATTATTAACGCACACACATTCATTTTAATACAAATGTTTTATTCTTTTTTTCAATCGACCGCTCTGGGAAAAAATATAATTATCATTTTTACGCGGGAGGTCAAAGGTTACTAACAAAATGGCCGAACACGCTGGAGCGGGCGTCACAATACTATGAGCTGCCGAGCAGAGAAGGGGATATTTGGATGCTTTGATGCGCATCGAGTGGAGCATTTGTGGAGTAAACTACTTATTTTTTAATAAGGAAACAGAACAACTTATTGCTGCTCGTGGCTGATGTATATTCGTGGATGCGTCGGCGTGGTTTGCATGGAAAACAGTGCACAGCGGGCTCCGGGCGATACAAACCAAAGACTCATCGACAGCCTGACACAGTGATCGTTTAAACATTCCGACTGCTAACATATAGTGCTTTGGGAGAACTGACGAGCACCCTGTAAACGTGTACGAGTCTGGTGAATGCAGGGGGCTTTGAATTGTGAGCCTGAAGAGCAGCTCAGTGCGGCTGAGGCAAGGGAAGCATCACCGAGCGGAGTTATGGCACCTTAAAAGTTCAGCAAAGCACAGCGAGAAGCAGCGATGAACAGGAAGAAGGACAAAGGCTTCGAGAGCCCGCGACCCTTTAAATTATAAGTATCTGAGCAGAATCACTTTCTTGCTGGTTGTTGTCATGTTCTATAGTAACAGAAGCAAAGTCAAGACCGAAGTAAATAGCGCTTTAGCTACACTTTGTACCTGGCTACGACAGAGAGGGTTTAGGTAGCTACATTCATAAATGAAACGTTAACTGTTTCGTTGTGTCACTGCTTTTACGACCCACCAGGTGGTGTGCATCAACAACATCAACTTCCAGAGGAAGTCTGTCATCGTAAGTACAGCACTTGCACACATAATGGCTCATCTGCTCACTGTTGGACAGCAGATACTCCTCAGTTAGCGATCTGCCGAGACGGCAGCGCTCTCTTGTTTTGGTTCCTCTAATCACACATTATGAAGGGTGCATTACTGCTTAAAAGAGTGTTACTTACTGTAATATACGCCTGCAGTCTCGTGTTAATATTCATCATTGTTATTTCTCAGCATTAAGCAAAATTACGTGTCAATCTTAAAAGTAATTTTAGCAAGAATCGCTTTTATTAAAAAAGAAGTGCTAAATAATGTTTAATGAAGATCTTTACCACACGGTGGTAGCATTTTCCCAGAAATGTGACTGTTTTACACGCATCATAGTCTTTTGTTTCTAAGACGACTTCCACCTAATTTAATATTTTGTTTGAAAAAGAAGCCTCTGTAACTGGATAAGAATCACAGTAACATGAATTCTGCACAGACTTGGAGCTGGCATAGATAGAGACAGCGTAGATAAACTAAACTGGTGCCCATCCTCTGTTATTTCTAAGGTTTGATCTGTCAGGACATAATAACAGAAATCATCTGAGCAATATGAAGTTTAAAATGATGTTATTACAAATTCAGAGGAGCGACAACACATGATGTATTACCTGTGTCATAAATCAAAATACAGAAGCAGGGTGTGCAAAAACTAAGCACACTTCGTGGTTCAATAGCTTGTAAACTCACCTTAGCAGCAGTAAGTGGAAATAATGGCTTTCTGTGTGACTTTATCAGCCTCACATTGTTTGAGAGGAGCTTTGGCCCACTCCTCCTCCCACTCTGCTTCATCTCATTTCATTGAGGTTTAGTTATTAAGGTTCTTTTACCATCACTGTCGTGGTGAAGGTGTTTTTTCTTCACATTCTGTTTACAAGTTCATTTTTTCATGCTTCAAATACATGTTGTTATATTTTGCTGATGTCTTCCTTGCCTCTGTATACTTCAGGGCTATGTTGAGCTCACCATCTTCCCCACCGTGGTCAACCTGAACAGGATCAAGCTAAACAGTAAACAGTGTCGCATCTACAGGGTCCGAGTAAACGATCTCGAAGCCCCGTTCCTCTACAATGACCCCACTCTGGAAGTGTGCCACCATGAGTCCAAGCAGTGAGTAGATCCACATTCTAGTTATTTTGGACCTCAGAATATGTGTTAGTCTACAAAAGTACATCTGAAAGTGTCACTGATTTTCTTCTTTAATTTAGATTCTATGGTTATAACACATGTGGAATTATACTGGAAGCTATCTTAACCAGATGAAGGAAGTTTGTCTTGCAGTCAACAGTTATCAGAAGTTTAATAGTTAAATTGACTGTCTTAATATTGAAGCAGTCTTTTGTGTTGTACGGAGGCGGTGCAGGTGTTCTGCAAACACCTAGTTAGGTTTAACTAGTGCAGGAACAGCCTGTCGTTACTGCAAGTAACAAACAAAATGCTGGAACTTTTTCTCTCCTGGGTCCTCCTGGGCTCTTTGTTGTGGGCAGGGTCCTTGGGTGCAAACATATTTGCTCCTTTTTTCACTTCTTTGTAAGTTCCGTCGCATTAATTCCCATAGTTTCAGAAATCTCTCACATTTGTGAGTCCTTGCTATCGTTACTATTCTTTATACTTATAAATTCAAAGCTGCAGTGAAAAACTTGTTGGAAATACCCAGGAGGAATCGATGGTGCTGAACAGGCCAATCACAATGGTTGTGGGCGGTGTCAACCCCACGTGTAATGACATTTCTAGAGAGGTGAACGTCAGATTACCCCAAATGTTACACTGTAGGGTTTCGGAGGAGTTCGCAGTTACGGCATAGGTACAGTGTAAATTTCCCAGTGAGTCCTCGGTCAGGTTAGAGACCATCAGTCAGGGAGGGAAACAGGCCCTCATGCTGGAACTGCTGCAAAGACACACTAAGTGCGGGAGGCTGATAAGAAGAAGAAGAGAGCTGCTTGGATCAAAAATAGAGAGGGAAAAAGCCAGGCTGTGTTTGGATTCAGCTGTCATGTTTGTGAGAAACCGTGAAGGGCTGATGGGAGCATCGGCGGTTTTAGCCAGAGCCAAAGGAAAGTCCGCACTAGTGTAATGAAGTGATTTTTAAAAATCTGTTTTGTTAATCGAGGTTTCATTTCTCCCGCATAATATGGACTCATTTTTATCAAATGGTGACTCACAGAAGGTAACACAGACTCATTGTCTTTACTGTGCACCCCTGTTTACCCCAAAAACCATCTGTGAGCCAGGAAAAACCCTGCTGTAAGCACTGTTTGACCAAGAAACAGAGTGATGGAGTGCCGCATTACATGACCTGGTCTCCAAAAGCTACAGACATAAACTCAAGCGAGATGGTTAGGGACTGCAGCCAACAAGTGTTCAACATGTGAGGCAGCTGCTTCAAGACTGCTGGAGCAGTTTCAAGAGTAAAGAGTGCAAAGCTGTTACTGAAGCAGAATTAAGCAGCTTTAAGAAATTCTAATGTTGCACATTTGGCGTTATTTACACTCTGATCTTTGCATCATAAATCCCTGTTATTCATAACATTGAGGTTTTTCTACACTGTGGAAAATAGTCAAAAGAAATTTAGGTTCATTTATAAGACTAGAGAGGGAGTCCCAACAGTTGGACAGGCCGCATGAACTAGCAGTTGGCAACAGTAGGGAGGAAAAACCCCCTTTGAATTAGAAAAGAAGCTCAGCGAGGGAAGGCTGGCACGTCGGGGCCCTTTATTGCTCGTGGTTGCATTTGGAGCCAAATAAACTTAGTGGAAGGATGAACTGCTGTGATTGGCCGTGTGTTTAATTTACTGAATTAGCTTAAACTAGCAGAGCTGTCTGATCATTTGAACTGTTTGGAAAATATTTGGTTGTGACTACAAGAATGAGAAGAAGTTATATAAATAAGATTTTATTGAATAACCTTTATTTAACCAGGAAGATCCCATTGATAGGCAGCAGCAAGTGTGTCACAGTTACAGAAATGACTCAGTTAAACACAGGCAGCAACAACACACATGCAAAAATAATAGATCTGAGAACACAGATTTATTTATGTCATTTACTTATCTTGTCACATTAAGATTTGTGTCCATCGGAGTGGGTGGCTGTGATTATCATCAACTGCATACTTAAAGAACAGCAATGAATGCTTACTGTGTGTCCACACAGGAGGAACCTCAACTATTTCTCCAGCGCCTACACTGCCGCAGTGAGTGCCGTGGACCCGGACGCAGGGCACGGCGAGCTGGTCATCAAAGTACCCTCTGAGCTCTGGAAACAAGGGGATGGTAATGGAGTCGTCTGTCAAGTGTTTTTGTGTAGCACCTTTCATGCAGATTAGTGCTTTTACTTTGATATCGATGAAGCCGATAATAAGAACAAATGTAAACAAAACACAACTGAAACTAAAAGCACAGCAAACATTCGAATAAAATAAACATATATTTATCTAATTGAGATAAAGTGCAATAAAATGTGCAAGTAAACTGAAAGAAGAATTAAATTAAAAAAACTAAATAAAACACAATAAACTCCAAACCTGTTAGTAAACTAAAAGCATGCAAAGTAAAACTGTATGAAATGCAGTAAAATAAAGAAACACTGTAACAGCTGAATAGAGCTGCAGCATTGTCTCCCAAAGCCTGGTTAAAGAGGCAGACGTTAAGTTTCAGGTTCAATGGTTCAACACTTCAGCTGCTCCCCGGCTCACTGTTACAGCCGCTCTGATCATTTAAGCTAAATAGTGCCCACACAGTTTTTCGTTTTATACCTGGACCAACTAGCAGATGCATGTCAGGTGAGCTGAGGGGCTGTAATGGCTATATACACTGTAAAGACTCGAGCAGCTGTTCGGCTGTTCCAAAAATCTGCCAATCAGATGGCAGCAACTCAACCCAACTGCACGTGGGCATGTAGACATGATCAAGACAACCTGCTGAAATCAAGCAAGAGAATGTGGAGGAACAGTGCTTTCAGTGACTTTGAACATAGCGTGGGCGCTCGGTCTGAGCTTTTCAGACGACGTCAGAGGAGAACGCACAGACTGCTTTGAACAGGAAGACGACAGCTGCTCAGATAATTACTCATTACAGCAGGAGGGCACCTGCAAACACACCCTGTCAAAGTTTAACATAGATGCACTATAGCTGCAGAGGACCGAGAGGCTGCACTCCTGTCAGCTGGGGCTGCACAATACAATAAAGATCGCATTCCCTCTGTGACATTATGTAGGGTCAAAATTTGGTATAAACACACTACCTGAGTGTTGGTGCTGACCAACTGCTTATGGTTAGTGTAGCCATCTTCTGATGGCTGCTTCCAGCAGGTTTACACACCGTTGAACTCCAGTCATGATGAGTTCACTGCACAAAGAGGGTCCAACCTAATATTAGCATGTTGTACCAAAAAAATAGACCATACAAACAACTGAAGGCTGCCTGAATATGGATGTGAACGTGAGTTTCTCTGTGTCATTCAGAGACAGAAACGCTCCAGAACAGAGAGGAGAAGGGTTAAAACGTTTGGAGGTCAAACTGGGTCTCCTGTGTTGTGGCTCAGAGTGAGCTCACCAGGTTGAATTTAACAGAAAAGTTAACCTTTGCTCCTACTTCTTCTGAAATTTGTCTTAGCGTCAGTGTAACCATAAAAAGAAATACCATTTCATGATGACATCTCTGAGGGCTTAAAGGTTTGTGGCTAGCTTAGAGACGTGTTGACACGTATGTCTAAAGTTATTGTTTTCAACAAATAATAAGCAGAAAAATAAATGATTTGCCCGTTTAAGGCCAGCATAATCTTTACCATCTCTTTTCATTTTTTTCAAATGACATTTTATTTTGAAAAGCCATCACCTGGTTACTTGTCTGTTGATTGTATCCAGTTCACTAAAATAAGGTTTTTGCCTTTTGTTGAATGAACATAAATAAAAATGGATGTTTTTATGTTTTGTTTTGTGTATCCAGATCTGAAAGTGTTGAAGGTGTACATAGAGTTTTCTCTGGACCAGCCCAAAGGCGGCCTCCACTTTGTTGTTCCTGATGTGGAGGGGAGCATGGCGGAGAGAGGAGCCCATGTGTTCTCCTTTGGGTACCAGAACTCCACAAGGTCTGCAAACAAACAATCTTCTCGTCCGTAGTAGATGAATAAATAAAAACCGCATTCCTTGGCTCCATATTGACAGATACAATATGTAGAAGTGAGTTTTTGTTTTGGATGTTCCAGCTTTGGAAGTTGTGATGGAAAAATGAAAATCTTCTCCTGTCACAGATTCTGGTTCCCTTGCGTGGACTCTTACTCAGAGCTGTGCACATGGAAGCTGGAGTTCACTGTGGATGCATCTATGGTGGCTGTATCATGTGGGGATCTGGTGGAGACCATTTACACTCATGACATGAGAAAGAAGACTTTCCATTACGTCCTTCCCATCCCAACAGCAGCTCCCAACATCTCCCTGGCTGTGGGCCCCTTTGAAATCCTTGTGGACCCCTACATGCACGAGGTGGGTCCTCGTTCTCTGTTCTTTCTGCGTGGAGTTTAAATAAATGTTGCAGTTATTTCCTCCTGCAGGTATTTATACAAACTGACATCAAACATGTTCATAGTTGCAGGAAAGGATCCTTACCACAAATACACAAACTGCTCTGGAACAGATAAATCAGGCTACCACTTTAATTGGACTCACTGACCCCAAACCAGTAAAAAATGTACTGGGCTGTGGTTAAAAGTCATGTCCATGAAGTGTTTGTGTAAACTTTACCCTCAGCTGTACAGCTTTTAGATCACCTGGCTTGGAATAAGTTCTGCAACGACAGATGCAGAATGCAGTCGTCGAATAATCCAGACAGATGAGATTAGTCCAGCTTTTTATATCATTTTTATCCTAAAATGCCTTTAAAGTGGTTTAAATGGAGCTTTGTCCTGTAGTGTTTTTTGATGACCACTTACTTAAGCGTCTTTTGAAGGTAAACGGTGTAAATAAAGAAGAATACATCGGCTCTGGTCACATAATCTTTGAAATACCACTGAAGCGCGCACGTCTTTGTTTCCTGTCAGGTGACACATTTCTGCCTGCCGCAGCTGCTCCCTCTTCTCAAACACTCAATGTCGTACCTGCACGAGATTTTTGAGTTCTACGAGGAAATCCTGACGTGCCGCTATCCTTACTCCTGTTTCAAAACTGTGTTTGTGGATGAGGCCTACGTTCAAGTATCCTCCTATGCTTCTATGAGCATCTTCAGGTAGGTCGTGATATCAGAGTTCACTGGTCCTTTTTGGCAGGATTGATAGAAGAAATCAGCAAATGTAAAACACAAATAGATTGCTGTTGAAGGCGTTATTCCTCTCATTCAACTGCTGCCTCTGTTTCAGTACCAACTTGCTCCACAGCGCTATGATCATTGACCAGACTCCCCAGACTCGCCGCTGTCTGGCTCAGGCGTTGGCTCAGCAGTTCTTCGGCTGTTTTATTTCCAGGATGTCCTGGTGAGTGTTAACATGGGATGGTGAAGTAAAGCCAAAATCTGAGACACAAGTTCTAGTCTCCAAAGTCTAAGACTTAGAAAGAGGATGAGGAGTCCTGTCGTTCGGTAGTAGAGCTCCTGCTTCTCCACATCAAAGGAGCCAGTTAAGGTGGATCCCTCCTGTGTGAGTTGCTCTGGGCATGTGCTGCGGGGAGGAGGTTACAGGGTAGACCCAGGACACGCTGGTGAGACCTGATTGTCCTGGGAGAACTTCAGATGAGCTGGAGGAGGTGGCTGGGCACAGGGAGGGCTGGGCTTGTCATGATCTGTAAGACAATGTTGACTCTGTCACAATGCACCACACTTTTCCGTCTTAATTGATACATTTGTTTCTTTTTACTAACACGTAACCATCGTTTGTAGCAACATGTTTTCACATCATGTTTTACATCAGTTTAGGTGCTTTTTTTTTCTTTCTTCGTGGAAGGTGTCACAGATTTAGACAGCAAGTACGATGATTAATATGATTAATGGTTCAGATACCTTTGTTTACACAATTAAACAGTACTCAAATGCTTCTTGATAATTGCGTGTGTTAGTGTTAGACTAGTCAGTCAAATTTCTCCCCTCATATTGTCGACCAAGAAATTAGTCTCCAAAAACATCCGTCAGCCTAATATCTGATATAGATAAGAACCTTCAGCAGCGTGAGATGTTTCTATAAAATGCATAGCTTGTGTAACACCATTGAGTCTGTTCCCTTTGGGTTGTTGTTTGTAGTTATACGTGTAGTTTGCTCTGCACAACACAGTCATTTCTAACCTCCTCACAACCACTTTAATGTGACCGACTCTTATTGTTCCCATCGTCCAGCAAGCAGTGTCCACAACAAAGAAACAACGTGTGCACGTAAATGTTCAGGTGACATCACACTGTGACATCATATTAAACCCCTTTTTCCTGTGAAACAGAGGCCTGTGCAGGATTTGGAACATTTAAGTGGTGAATGGCCTGTATTTGTATATCGCTTTACTCAGTCCCTATGGACCCCAAAGCGCTTCCCATATGGAAAAGAAATAGTAAAAACATACATGATTTACTCATGAAGGTGGCCACTTTCTCATTACTTTCATATATTTTTTTAGTAAGTATACAAAACATACAAGTTTCATTATATAATTTTTCAAGGGATCTTATACGTGTTTCCACTCTTGTATGCTTTTCATACAAGTTTCACACAAGACAGATAAAAACTTTATAAGATTTATATCTTTTCCATATGGGTTTACACTACATTCAGTCATCCACCCATTCACACACACATTCACACACTGGTGATGGCAGCTACATTGTAGCCACAGCCACCCTGGGGCGCACTGACAGAGGCGAGGCTGCCGGACACTGGCGCCACCGGGCCCTCTGACCACCACCAGTAGGCAACGGGTCTCAAACCGGCAACCTTCTGATTACAAGACGAACTGCCAACTCTAAAACCACGACCGCCCCATTTAATGTGGCGTTCTTGTATTTAGAAGGTGTAATGTTCATATATGCTGACCAATGAGTTCTCCAGAAAACAGTCAATCTGTAGGCTAGCAGTAAAAAGATCTATAGTTATTGAGAACGTCTACAATTCGAGCAGTTGTATATTTGTGTAAATGTTTATGTACCGAGATAAGCTGCGAACAACAAACCAAGACTAGCTGTCGACGTTTTCCTTACGGTTAGTATTGGTCAATGGCTTTAAACACCTCCTCTTTTATCTGAACATAGTTTTGGTTTCCCAAAAGCTAACTTGGAAAATATTGATGTGGAAAACCTTTACTTGGCCTGACTGGTGATGCTAGAATAAGCAGATCCAGGTAATGAAAAGGTATCCTGAATATGTGGAGCTTGCTTTTGGACGCTGTAAGAAAAGGCACTGAGAAGATGCACCACAAGTTCAGCTACAAACAGGCTGCGATTGGGCTCAAAGGCCAGAGAGTTGTGTAATGGAAAAGAAGCGTCAGTGTTGTTTGGAAGCGTTCTCACACAAACCGCTATGAACAGATCTCAGCAGTGCTTCCCTCGGCTCTCTGGGCTTTTAGAAACGTGTGGTAACAGTTAGTCCTCAGACCTCTTCTCGTAAGGCTGCCTGCTGATGAGAGATTTACAGCAGAACAAGGCTGTTCTGTCAGTACCAAGAGTCAGAAGTTGGGCCGGTCCTGGCCTGAACAACTGTATCCTCCAGCATGATGGATCGCTGCGCCGCTCGGCAGCTCTGCCAGTGCGGTCAGTGTCCGTGAGAGACTGAGGGCTTGATTATGTTAAGAGGCCCGTCAGAAAGGCCTCAACAGTCTCAGGTGCACCTTGTGCTGTGTCTACCCCTGTGTGTCCCTCCTTTACCCTACAGGCCATCTTCCATTCACCGTCCATACTTTGCCTTCTCCTCACTGACCTCCAAACACACGTCAGATGTGGGGCCTTGATCTGCTCATGTTGTTGGGCTAGCTGGCTGCTGTTGTGTAAGGAAAAACCTCACAAAAAGTCAGATCTCTTTGATTTTAACAAAGCATGGCGGCCTGCTAGCAATTAATCAGAGCAGGGGGTTAACTGAGGGCTGTAATTGAGAACAGGCTAAGCTAAGCAGCCCATCAGACATACAAGGCACATGAAAGGTATTGGTTCAACTGGTTATGCATTTTGGAAAAACACGACCTTTTCTGATGTGTCGCTGCTCCGTGTGTGCACCGGATGATCCTCCTTAGACTTCCTGAGAAATGAAACTGCCTGTTGTGCTGTTTTTGGGACTCCTCTTGAAGAAAGGTGTCTTACAGCTATGAGGATGAAAAGAAGGTAATCCAAACTTAGGACTTAATTATCGCCCTGAGCATGACCCAACTTAAAAAGAAAATACTTAAGAAAACACACAGTGTACTGTTGACTCCAGGACATACAGCGATGAAGTCATCTGTGCCGTGTGTGCCAGGCTGGACTTAGCTCAGTGTCAAGCAGGGAAACCACCGAGGCTGAATAAGTGTATTGTGTCTCTCTTTCTTTTTTAACAAGCTAATAAATCCAAGCTGATAAATTAATGAGAGCAGTGTGTGGGGCCCTGATTGTAAAAGTTACTATTAAAATGTGAAGAAGCAACAAGTGTGGTCTTAAATGATTTATCATGCTTGGGCATGATGAAAGAGCGCATATCAGTGAGGGAGGAAGGATGGAAGAAGAGCCCTCACCCCCACAGGTCACGGCAGATGGCCGCCCCTCTCCCAGCCTGGTTAAAGGGAGTTTTTCCTTCCCACTTTGCCAAGTACTTGCTCACAGGGGGTCGTATGATTGCTGGGATTTTCTCTGTATTACTGTAAGGTCTTTGTCTTACAATACAAAGCGCTTTGAGGTGGCTGCAGCTGCAGTGATCAAACTGAATTGAATTGTCACTAATATCGTTGCTGTATCTAAATGCTGGAATTTCACTGTGATTCATTCACAGTAACGTTGGAAGAAAGTTGGGGTGTTTTGTGAGCTTAGAGCTGAGATGTTCTCTGTTCTGTAGGGCTGACGAGTGGGTGCTGAAAGGAATCTCAGGGTACATCTACGGTCTCTACCTGAAGAAGACCTTTGGAGTCAATGAGTATCGGCACTGGATCAAAGAGGTGAGCGCTTCATAAATCTTCCCCTGTAAAAGCTGCTTCCTCATCAGTTAATACAGTTAAAGCTTCAGCCACATACTGAGTGTTTGATTTAACTGTGGTGCTGTACAGATACAAAACTGTAGAAATGTGCCTTACTATATCTAGAAAGTTTGATTACATTTTTAAACTTTGGTGGAACCTGATGGAACGTCAAACATGCTCAGGTCGAATAATGTTGGTGTTGATAATAAATCTCATTATCATCTCCTTCTGATACAGAAAACATACCTTTTGTTTTTGCCCACAGGAGCTGGACAAGATTGTGGAGTATGAGCTGAAAATGGGAGGAGTCTTGTTGCACCCCACCTTCAGTGGCGGGAAAGAGAAAGACAAGTAAGATATTAGATTCTAAGAAGTGTAAGCAGTGTCGTGTTTAGTCATAATACTCCGAGTATAAATCCCAGATCATTTGTTGGGTTTTGAACTTTCTTCTCTTCTTAGTCCAACTCCCCACCTTCACTTCTCCATCAAACACCCCCACACACTGTCTTGGGAGTATTACAAGATGTTCCAGTGTAAGGCACACCTGGTGATGAGGCTGATAGAAAACAGGATCAGCATGGAGTTCATGTTGCAGGTCAGCTGGGTCCTTTTGTGTGTGTGCCAGTAGTAACATGCTCTCTCTTTTAGCTCATTAACCTTTTGTTATTGTTTAGGTTTTCAACAAGCTCCTGAGTCTGGCCAGTACAGCCTCGTCTCAGAAGTACCAGAGTCACATGTGGAGCCAGATGCTTCTGTCCACTCATGCCTTCCTCAAATCCATCTCCAACGTCTCTGGCAAAGACATAGGCCCCCTCATCAAACAGTGGGTGTATCCTTTATCGCAATCAGATCTGTGTTTGCAGACGGATGCAGGGATGGTGGAGGTTGCAGTGTTGGAAACAGTAAATAAGAAAGAAAATAAGCAAATATGAAAGGCGTATAGCAGCATCATGTGAAACTGATTACAGTCAAATAAAAACATTCAAATATTGAGTCTTTATCCACTGGGTCCGACACCTCCTTGGAGGGTTTTAGTCTTAACCGTTCATATGCAGAGATCAGAGCAGTGTGGTGAAATTCTTCGGCAGTTTTGCCTTCAACAGAAAGAGGAACGTGCTGGAGCTGGAGATCCGTCAGGACTACACATCATCTGGAACTCAGAAATATGTGGTGAGTCTTACAGCCCTGTGCCTTGTCACTCTGTCAGGACCCAAGCAGGCTTAAATTGTCGGACTTTTTTTGCTACGTTCTTTGCTCTGTTTCCTTGCAGGGTCCAATCAAGGTGACCGTACAAGAGCTGGACGGCTCCTTCAACCACATGCTGCAGATAGAAGAGAACAGCCTGAAACACGACATTCCCTGCCACTCAAAGAGCAGAAGGTGCCGGACGCTGCGTCACTCTCCTCTGCCGGGCTTGTGTATTACAATGGACACTTACATTATTGCTGTTATAGCGCCTGAAAATCATGCATTGCTAACACTGAGATGTGCTACAGTGCATCCAGAAAGTATTGCCAGTGCTTGATGCTACAAGCTTGGCACATGTTTCTCCTATTTTCTTTGCAAACCCTCCATCAGGTTTGATGGTGTACAGCCATTTTCAAATCTTTTGAGAAATGTGTAATCTATTTCAAGTCTGGACTCTGGTCGGGTGCCCCCCCTTGGTCATCTTGACTCAGTGTTTAGGGTAATTGTCCTGTTAGAACAGGGGTGGGCAACCCCAGTCCTCGAGGGCCGGTGTCCTGCAGGTTTTAGATACCTGTTTCAACACACCTGAATCACATGATGAGCTCATTCCCAGGCCTCTGGAGAACTTCAACACATGTTGAGGAGGTCATTCAGCCCTTTGAATCAGCTGTGTTGGATCAAGGACACATCTAAAACCTGCAGGACACCGGCCCTCGAGGCCTGGAGTTATAAGATGAACCTTCACCCCAGTCTGAGAAGCAGAGCTCTCTGAAGGTTAATGATGTCTCCATACATCACTGCATTCATCTTTACCTCGACCCTGACTAGTTTCCCAGTTCCTGCTGCCAAGAAGCATCGCCACAACGTGATGCTGGCACCACTGTAGGATCGTGATGAGCAAAGCCTGGTTTTGCTCGACATGACGCTCGACATTCAGGCTGAAGAATTTAATCTTTGTTTCCTCAGACCAGAGAATTTTGTTTCTCGCGGTCTGAGAGTCCTTCGGGACTTTACTAAGGAGTGCCGTCTGTTTGGCCGCTCTGCCACATATGTCTGATTGGATAGTTAAATATTCAATGCTGCAGAAATGTTTCTGTGCCTTCTGTGGATTTCATGGCTTGCTTTGCGCTGTGTGCCTTTCCAAACCATGCTCAGCTGAATTTACTACAGTTGGGCTCCAGTCAGGTTGTAGAAGCTCTTGATCAGCAGAAACAGGACGCACCTGATCTCAGTTTTGAGTGTCACTGGAAAGGCTGTAAAATCTTATATGTGTTCAATTTTTGTTGTTTTATTTTTAATACATTTGCAAGAATTTAAACAAACTTTATTCACTTTGTAGAATTTTGAGGTCAAATTAATTGAATCCATTTTGGAATAACATGACAGCATGTGGAACAAGTGAAGCGTGTGGATACTTTTCAGATGCACCATTTGATGTTACTTAGAAGAAGGTTGTGGCTTCACTGTTTCCTCCTAATATATACGAATGTTTCCAGTCTTTGTTCTGATTCTTTGTTTCTCTCCTCAGCGAGAGCGTCTGTCATATCAGGCTGGGAGTGTTTGGTGTCACTGATGTGATTTCTGTTTGCAGAAACAAGAAAAAGAAGATCCCTCTGATGAATGGAGAGGAAGTTGACATGGATTTATCTGCAATGGAGTAAGACATTACTGCTGTGATGCATTGCTGCTATGTGACTAAGGCTGCGTTCACTCTGCAGGTCTTGATGCTCAATTCAGATTTTTTGATCAAATCCGATGTTTTTGTCTGCTCGTTCACACTACAAATAAAATGCGACAGCAAACGCGCTCTAGTGTGAACGCTCAAAGCGGCGCATGTGCAAAAGAAGACGTCACACACAACGCGCTCTGTTTAGACCCAGAGCAACAGTATGTGTGATTGATGGCCTTAATATAAAGACTTCGGACTTTATGTTTCCCAATTTTTGCTTTAAGTTATTTTGTTATTTACATAATAATGTAAATAACCTAATAATGATCCTTGTTGCTGTGTTAGAGGAGCGCTGCTTCAAAGGATAGTTTCTGTCAGAATCTGCAGATTATACAGGACAAAGAAAATGTTCACGCTGTCTTCCCAACAGTTTCACGGGATGGACAGGAAGCGTTCGCGATGTCTTCTCCGGCGCTGATAATTGGCGTCTGTCTTGTGTCAGTGACGTAAAAGACGGATTCAATGCGACCTGACCATCAAACAGCAGTCGCTTTCTAAAACATCAGATACGTGTCGGATTCAGCACCACATACGAAAGTGACCCAGATCAGATTTGAAAATATGGGATTTGTGCCGTTCACACTGTCACCATGATGGGATAGATGGTCGCAGAGGGTCAAAAACATCGGATTTGATGCGCTTTCGCCTGCAGTGTGAACGCAGCCTAAGAGTATTGTCTTGCCAAGTTAATGCATACATCTGTCTAACATATACGGTGCACGGTGTCCGTGCCTGTTCATTCCTCTGCAGTGCTGACTCTCCCCTCCTGTGGATCCGAATCGACCCGGACATGTCCATCCTGAGGAAGGTGGAGTTTGAGCAGGCTGACTTCATGTGGCAGTATCAGCTGCGCTATGAGAGGGATGTTGTTGCACAGGTGGGCTAACAGTAAGCATGCAGGGCTCCACACCGGCCTTAAAGAGCAGTCTCCTGTGTGTTAGATGAGCCTGTAGTTCTAATGAGTTGTCATTTCCACAATGATTTGATAAAGGAATCCCTTTATTTGCTCAAATCACAGCTCACTAATGTTCTGTGTCTTCATTCTGCTGCACAGTGATGCACATGTGCAGCTTTTTCCACTTCCACTATGACACCAGTGCATCAGAACATTATTGTATCACTGTGTCTAACAGGTAGCGAGTGCCCAGTGTTTAAGCATTCAGACTGTATCCATCAGTCTAAGGAAGAGACTGTGAATAATTCTGTATATGTAACGTCAGACAAGACTTAAACATATTAAACGGTGTCAATGGGACCAGGATGCATCGGATTTAAAGAAAAAGTTTATTTGTCACAACGTTTGCTTGCACTCGTGTCCGTGTGTCGGAGAGAGTCTTCACTGCTCTGCTGTTATTTACAGCCACACTGCTTTCACTGTGAGTGCACCTCCTCACACACATGCGCTGCCTCTGCGGGCAGATGAAATGAAAAACAACAATCAGATTCCTGATATTTTTCCTCCATGGTGATGGTCACATGGTCAAGTTCTCCAGTTCCTGTAGCATCAAGGCACCGTCCAGTCCTGACGGTTGGCGTGCTGTTTGCTCAGTAATTAATCTTCTCTCCATGCAACAGAGCTCAGCCTTTCTGGTTTTTGTTTCATGCAGAAAGTTATTTGCATGTTGCTTTGTGGTAAAGAATGAGGCCTCTGATCCTTGCTGTCACGCGTCCTCTAGTCTGTAATGATGGTTTTGTCCCTGACTTCTCTGCCTGTGAATCCAACTCTGGCATAAATCACAACCGTCCCTGTGGAGAAATCTTTTTTGAGGCCACAGCCAGGATGCGGGTTGCAGGTGTCTTTTAGGAACTTGAAGTGTTTGGACAATCTTTCATTTAAATGTCGGTTTTATGGTTTAATTAAATGTGTTTTTTGCCATGTTTTCTGCTTAGTTATGCAGCTACAAAAACTGCAACGTTAGCATAGTTAAAGTTACTGTTCGTACTACTGCAATTTTTTAGTAAATGTTCATCTTTTTCTTGTGTGTAAAGTCTGATTGAACAATGATCTCTCTGTTAGGAGGAGGCCATCTCAGCACTTGAAAAATTCCCAACTCCTGCCTCCAGGCTGGCTCTGACTGACATCCTCGAGCAGGAACAGTGTTTCTACAAAGTTCGCATGCAAGCGTGCTTCTGTTTGGCTAAGGTACGTGTCACTGTGTTGGTGTGTGATTCAGTAACAGCACAATGAAAAGGTTTTGAAGGCTTCAGCTTCTTCCACAATCTGTTGAATACAATGTGTAAGCCACAACCATAGAGATGATGGCACTCCCAAACATCCATCCGTCTGTTAATTAGTCTTCCCTCATCTGTCAGCATCCACCTGAGCTCCACTGTCCAGTGAGATTAAATTAGCGCTGTTTGGTCCTGTCAGCGGCTCTGAGCAACGAGGTGCGCCCTTCTTACACCGTCTAAAATCAGATGGATGTGGGATCCAGCACGGCCACATTTTCTAACCCTTCATGTTCGTGTGCTTGTGATTTCACCTGGAGTTTAAATCGTCAAAGTAACTTCAAACAGAACCACCTTAATAACTCCAGTTACAGAGTTGCTGATGTGCGGCGTTGGTTTTTTTAATCTCACAACAAGTTGTGGATTCCTCATTTACGCTAAGGCCAAGTCTGCGAGCGCTGGGACACACGTGCTGTCAGCAGGGAGCGTCAAAGCGCCCTCTGGTGGACAAACCCTCCAACATCAACACAACATGGTTGAATGGTGTTTCTCCTGACTCTTTATTATTTATCAGCCATCATAAATGCCAATATCGATGTTACCAAATGGCTAATGTGGGCTTACATATCAGTTTAGACTCCTTGAATCTGTCAGAGGTTACTATAAAGCTAGCTACGTCACCTCTTCACAACACTACAGAAGAGACGGGACACAAAGCAGTCACACATTTATTCCTCTTGCCGCAGACTTAGTGAGAGGCCTGCTAAACCCAGCACAAGGAAGGAGCCAGGTTACACAACTACAGACTGAGGCAACACTAATGTATGCAACACTATGTGCCAGCAGTCATGACATCACTTTTGGTGGTCATCGGCATCAGCCAGAATAACAACGCAAAGCATAATTTGCCTGCAATGTTGTTAATATGGCAAAGCGATGTGGTCATGCTGAGTTTGGCTCCACATGTCACTGTTTGAAATGGCTCATTGCTAGCAGCAGACAGAAACTGGAGGGTGGTATTCTGGGAGTAGTATAAAAGAAAACGTGTTAACAGGTGAGACAGTTTTAAGAATAAAGTTTTGGGCGGACTGAAGGATCCACATAGGAACGAACAGTTTCAGCCTGTAGCTTCACAGTGTGACTCTGCTTTTCTTTTTAATCAAAGATGACAAAAACAGGAGCCTTTCCTCTGTTTCTTCTGCATTTACGTCAGTGGTCACTTAGTATATTAGTACCAAATAAAATGTAACTGATTGTAACTATTACAAAAGAGCTGCAGCAGCAGTACAGGCCATCGCTTCCAAGCTAGCGAGGCCACCCACCACTTTAAATGTTGCTGCACTTCAGCTCAGTTGACTGAATAATTCTGTGGCCCCAGGAAATTCTCTGTTCTCTGGATTTGGTCTGTTCTAACTTTCACCCCACTGGATTTCCATCCTTCAGGTTCCACCTGAACCAATATTTTCACAGCATGAGTGGAGGATGAAATGGCAGCACTTCACTTCTTTCACTAGCTCGCTGCGTTTGGCCACAGAGCCCCCAGCAGACTCTGTGATAATGGCTTTTGGTATACACAAAGCTCACGCACACTCAGGCATCCACACTCACACTGACCACAGACTCCAGTATGGCAGGCTTTACATTCCTCTCTGGACTTGGCTGCATTGCGATTGGTCGGGATCAGTTGTGTGTTGTTGGTAGAAAATGTGGGAAGCACGCTTCGAACACAGTGATACAGTCCATGAATGCATCCCCACATCCGACAGCCCACCTCCCCCTTATCCAGCTAACCAAATGACAACATCCTGCATGAGTGACCCTTGCCCTCATTTTACCACATTAACATAAATTCCCCAATATCCTGTTGGAGCGTATAGACCAGTGGGGCCGCTGTTCATACCTGTGGAAACCACACGAGCTGTCCGTGTTTGCATTTGCTGTTGACTTTGTAGCTCAGCTCTCACCACACGAAGTGCAACAGACAGACAAAGCATTGTTATACAAGCGAGAACATTCTTCACTTGTCATTCGTGTTTCTCAAATTCCTGCTGTAGCTATTATACTTCGCCGTACATTCTTCATTCCCTGCACTCTGCTGGAATCTGAAATGTTTCGCTGTTCTCTTTGTTGTTTTACTGTGACGGCAGCAGACAGAGGGGAGCTGATGGATGCAGTTCTGCACAATCAGGCGTTTAAAAGTGTAATAAAGTAACTTGTGGTTTGTTTTGTTACGCTGTGACTCTTACAGATAGCCAACGCCATGGTGAGCACATGGCAGGGTCCACCAGCTATGAAGTCCCTGTTCACCAGAATGTTCTGCTGCAAGAGCTGCCCAAACATCGTCAAGACCAACAACTTCATCAACTTCCAGAGCTACTTCCTCCAAAAGGTACAGCCAAGAAGCAGAGCTAAACAGTCCGATTAAAAAGCTTGAAGCTTATTCTTACGATAAGTGCTGTCACATCATGAGGTTTTAATCGTTAACACATAAATAACTGCTCTGAACAAATAGTCCTTATCTCGAGCACAGCGTTAGTGACTTGCAGACTATGCATTCACAGTCAGCTGTGTAAACAAGTGTCAGCTAACTGGCAAATCTAATGTAGGCATCCTGTTTAATCCACTTTAGCCTTCTCACATTTGCTTTCATCTGTAAGCTGCTTTGTAACCCACCTCAACCCCAGCTTCACATGAGTACGGGTAAGCCGGTGTGCCAAAATCAGAGCCACACCACCAAATACGAATGACTGCAGGTGGAAGAAACAGCCTTCTTTGGATTTTAGTGGTCATGTGGTCAGTCGTAATGACTTAATTAGATACTTTGTGAAGAATAAAATGATAATAAGAAGATAAATGTATTGCATTGAAGATGAAAACATGAATATGTTCTCTATCCTGTAGACTTTGTAAATAAAACATGCACAGGGCCGGTATAAATAACTCAAATATGTTAAGAGTATCAGTAAAACTACAAAGAAATTCTAGTGGTGGGTATTAACAATAAACACTGGATATGGCAAAAGCAACAAGCACAGCCAGGTGACAGAGTGGCAGTTAGGAGATACTCTGTGTGTGGCACAAATTCTCCAGATGTGACTGCAGTCAGATACGTAAAAAGACTGGCTTGTGTTTTAGAAATGGCACTCGTGCTCATAGGTAAAACAACCAGAGTGAAGCTCTTTATGAGAATAAATATTATTATAATAACACATTAAAGG